CGTACAGCTCAGTCCAGGCAAAAGAGTTACGCCGACCGTAAGGTTCGTGATATGACATTCATGGTCGGAGAGCGAGTGTTGCTCCGGGTGTCGCCCATGAAGGGCGTGATGTGATTTGGGAAGAAGGGAAAGCTAAGCCGTAGGTTCATCGGACCTTTTGATATCCCTTGATCGTGTGGGAGAGGTGGCTTATAAACTTGCATTGCCACCGGGTTTATCAGCTGTGCATTCAGTGTTTCATGTGTCCATGCTTCGGAAGTATCACGGCGATCCATCCTACGTGTTAGACTTTAGCACCATCTAGTTGGATAGAGATTTGACCTATGAGGAGGAGACAGTAGCTATTCTAAACCAGCAGGTTCGTCAGTTGAGATCAAAGAGTTATCCGTTGGTTTATGTGCAGTGGAGAGGTCATCATATTGAGTCAACTACCAGGGAGTTTGAGTCTAATATGTGGAGCCTATATCCCCATATTTTCATCGACTCAATTACTTTTCTATGTCCGTTCGAGGACGAACAGTTATTTTAGAGGAGGAAAATGTGATGACCCAAAACGTCATCTCTTATTTTAGAAGTCACGTCTGTGTTCCGAGGCCTTAAAACCCTTCTTTTGTCTCTCCTCGATTTGCATGCGTAGTCCGGGAACATATTCGGAAAGACTTTATGTAAAAATTTGAGAAAATGCTAAATTTTGCCTTTAAAGTGGAATTAAGTTGACTTCGGTCAATATTTTGGGTAAACGGACCCGGACCCTTGTTCCGACGGTCCCATAGGGTCCGTTAGTATCGGGCCCGTATCTTGGTTCCGGAGCCTGGTATAGGTTTGATTTAGTATTTAAGTCGTAACTGTGAAATTTGGTGAAAAACGGAAGAGATTTGATATAAATCGGACCCTTGATTGAGAAAATAGAAATTTGAACTATCTTGTGAAATTCAAGAGTTTTGGTGTTAAATTCGTTGTTTATGATGTTATTTTGGCAATTTGATCGTATGAACAAGTTCGTATGATGTTTTTAGACTTATGTGCATGTTTGGTTTGGAGCCCCGAGGACTCGGGTGAGTTTTGGATAGGCCACTAGCTGTTTTGGACTCGGAAAAAAATGTTGCAGGTTTCAGTTCTGGTGTTGGCCTCTGATCTCACAATTGCGAGAACAGAGATCGCATTGCGAGGAAAACAATGATGGAAATTGCGAGGCTGGGTCGGCTTAGTTCGCAAATGCGAACATAACTTCGCAATTGCGAAGAGAGTCTGGGAAGGGGTGGGATCGCATTTGTGATCATTTTATCGCAATTGTGGAGGCTGATATAGTGTGATGGTTCTCGCATTTGCGATGGACCTTCGCATTTGCGAGCTTCGCAATTGCGACATCTACAGGTGATATGTTTGGACCTAGATGAGATTTTCACCCATTTTTCAATTCTCTCAAACTCTAAACCTCCCTAGGCGATTTTTCAAAGTCCCAAACTTCTCCAAATCATAAGTAAGTGATTTATAACTCAACTCTTTCAATCTATCTCATCTTTTTGCAAGATTTCATCACAAAATCTAGGGATTTTCACGGGAAATTGAGTGTTTTTGGGTGCAATTTGGGAATTTCCAAATTTGGGGAATTACACAAATTGAGGTCGGATTCCAAAACCAAGTGCATATCTGGGATCAGGGTGAATGGGTAATTGAATTTTGGTCCGAACTTCGAGTTTTGACCAAGCGGGCCCGAGGACGATTTTTAACTTTTTGAAAAAAATGGTAGAAAACTTTTAATTATGCATTGGAATTGAATTATTAAGCACTTATTGATTTTATTGAGTTAATTATGACTAGATACGAGTGAATTGGTGGTGGAATCGAGAGGTAAAGCGTTGAATGAGTATTGAATTACCTGGTGTCTTGAGGTAAGTGTTTGGTCTAACCTTGACTTGAGGGAATAGGAATCCCCGACTTATTTGCTACGTGAAATTCCATGTGTGTGACATATAGGTGTGGTGACGAGTACCTATGCGCCATCAAATTATTATGTTTAGCTATTTCCCTTCCTCGTTTCCTATTATACTGTTTTTTATCTTAATTGTTACCTGCTCGTAACTGTTTCCATGCCTTAACTGCTACTTTCTCATAAATGCTTCCATGCCTCATTACTTTATATTAACTGTTGCTCTCTTTATTGAAGTATCTAATTGTTTCATTATTTCGCTTTATTACACTATTGGCTTATATTGGTTTGTTGGTGCCTTATGGTACACCTTGGTTGGTCTCGCTGAGTATTTTACACTGGTGAAGCTGAATAACCGTAGTGATATTCCGTTGTGTGAATTGAGGTAAAAGTACATTGGAGGATTTGAATTAATCTGTGAAATACTTGTCTTTATTTTTGTGATTGGTGTTGATTTATATTGGGATCAGGTTGCATGCCGCAACAGGATTGTCTGGTGGGATCGAGTTGCACGCCACAAGGAGTAATAAGGGTGGATAGGTGAAATCGGGTTGCGCGTTGCAACATGAGGAATAAGGTCCATATGTGTTGAGGAGTAATAAGGGTGGATAGGTGGGATCGGGTTGCGCGCCGCAACAAGGAGGAATAAGGGTGAATATTGATACTGTTGTTGATTATACGATGGGATCGGGATGCGCGCTGCATCAGTTGTTGTTATGTTTCCATATCCGTTGAGGTTCATTATTGTGACGTTGAAACACCTTTAAGGATTGGCTATAGTTGAATACTAGTAGAAAAGTTGGGTTCCGGATTCACTTAATGCCAGTTATTGCTTTATTAAATTTTGTATTTCCTTTCTGTTTAGTATAAACTGTTGCAGGTTGTATATGTTGTATGCCCCGCCGTAGCCTCATCACTACTTCGTCGAGGTTAAGCTCGGCACTTACCAGTACATGGGGTCGGTTGTACTGATACTGCAGTCTGCACTTCCTGTGCAAATTTTGAAGCTAGCGGCTGATCGTGAGGTTGGTTGCTATCACTGCGTACCGGAGACCCAAGGTAGTCCTGCGGGCGTCCGCAAGCCGTGGCGTCCCTTCTATCCCATTTCATTTTCTGTTTTATCTACTTTCAAGACAGATATAAACTTTTCGTTCAGACCTTTATTTGTAGTAATCTTAGATGGTTCGTGATTTGTGACGCCAGTTCTGGGTGGATTTTATTTCGATTTTCGTTATTGCATAAAGTTAAGCTTTTAAACTGTTTTCTTCCGCATTTAATTTCACTGGTTTATTTTGTTAAGTCAAAAATATATGAAAGACAAAGGAAAAAGGTAGGATATTCCGGAACATTGGCTTGCCTAGCGGGTACAATGTTAGGCGCCATCACAGTCCCGACGGTGAGAAATTTAGGTCGTGACAAAATATAACATGTTGCAATAAAATAAATATGAGTTTGATAAATAAAAAGTAAATCGATAAGTTTTGAGGCTACAAATAGGCATACCACTGATCTATTATTGAAGATTAAATTTTGCAATTTACTTTTTGTTATTTTAAAGTTTATTAATACTTCAATTTATATATAATTACTATATTTTTAATTATTTTGAGAAAATTTAACACTTATAGTTAAAATTGAATTTTCATTACTTGATAGTGTTTGAGCAATTCTTATTTTTGTCATTGAAATAAAAACGTTCACCTATGAAATTTTGTATATATAACTTATTGTGGTTAAAATACTGTTATTGCAGTGACAATCCTAACTATACAACCAAAGTTATAATTAACTCGTAAATTTATCATCACTTTAAATTTGTGGCTATTAATTTTGTCATGACAAATAGTTTTAACTTTTATCTAAGTATTTTTTTTATTTAGAAGATAAATATTTATTTGACTACAAAATGTTGTTCAAATATTTAATGTGGCTAGATTTACCTTGTGGGAAAAAAAACTAATGATGAGTTATAATTTTATCTTATCAATTTTGTGGTATCATTTTAGCGTGACAAATAATTGTAGCTATTACGCCAACTATTGCCATGACTTTTTAGAACTTGAAGTAAAATTATTTATTTAGTAACATTTTTATTTAATAAATTTATTGTGACTAAAAGGTTACTATTGCTATATGAAGTTTCAACTCGTGGCAAAAAACTACTATTATAGCAAGAAATTTGTGGCTAATTTAACCTATACTGCCACAACTTTTTATAACTTGAAGCAAAAATATTTATTTAGCTACAATATTTTATTTTAAATATTTTATTGTGGTTAAAAAGTTATTATAGCTATAGTAAGTTTCAACTCGTGGTAAAAAAATTAATGATTAGCTACAGAATTCAGTTATAGCAATAAATTCGTGGCTATATCATTTAACTACTGCCACAACTTTTTAAAACTTGAAGCAAAAGTATTCATTTAGCTATAATATTTTGTTTCAAATAATTTATTGTAGCAAAAAGGTTACTTTTGTTACAGTAACTATTGACCCGTGGTAAAAACTTATGATTAGCTGTAAAATTTAATTTGTAACAATAAATTTATAGCTATTTATGTAGCTATTGCCACGATTGTTAGCAAATATAGCTAATACGAGGAATTAGCTTTACCAACTTAATTTTCGTGGCAATTGTTTTTTATAATTTTGTAAATAGACACGAAATTCTAATTTATGTGACTATTATTAGGTATTGGCTATAATTATTAAATTCATAACTAAGATTTTGTAGCTATAGATATATAATGTTATAGCGCAAGGTACCCTGAATTGTATAAGATAGTCGATCCGTTCGGTTCATTTAGAAAAAGGGGTGGAGATGACGTTTAAATCAAGGTGGAAAATATGTGAAAATTCAGATGACGATGAAATCTCTTTGCATGTTTGTGTCACAAGCGCACAGATTCGCACGCACTTTAATTCTGCATTACTAATATATAGAAGAGCGAGAGAAGCAGCTGAAGGTCGTCATGTCTGCTTGCTGCTAAAGGGTATTCTGGTCATTTCATATTGCTCCTAAATTTGACTGAAAGCTAACGCGTGTGATCAATATGACAGCTGACGCAGTACTGATTTATCTGCGGTACTTCAGTATGACAGATAAGTCACTCTCTATCTCTATCTGTTCATCTTCTTTGTTTTTCTCTATCTAATTTGTATCTAATTTCAAAGTACAAAATTACATTTGCTATGCTTTTTTCCTCTCTTCGGTGAGAATTCCAGAACCTTTTTCTTCGCTGTAAGAAAGAATTGGTGTTTGGCTTGGATTTTTGTGGTTCATTATTTGCTAAATTGACATAATCACATGGTTCACAGTCACCGCTGATCTTCGCTCAGAATTCCTTTGGCTTCTGCTTCTTCGTTGTAACAGAAAATTAGGGTTTTGTTTGAGGTTTTGTAGTTCAGTAGTTGCTCAATTGACATAATCATATGGCTGAAAGGTTAGTTTATTGTTCTATCTTTTTCCATTACATGTGATTGTGATTGTTTTATTTTTGGGTTCTTGCTGATTTGTTGCTCGAAATTAAATTGTAATTTTATGTTAGTTTTGTGAAATTCAAAAATACCTAGAAAAGAAATTGGGATTTCCTTCGACTATCTAATGTTTAGGCTCTTTATTGCTTTGGTAGCCACTTTGCTGCCATTCTGGAGATCATCCATTAATTGAAGTTCTCTGCACCTTCCTATTCAATATGGATTTTTCCAATAAGGAAAACTAACAAATACAGAGGGTGACAATTGGTTGTCCATTGAGTTGAGATTATGGGCTCAAAATTTAATATCAGTTGAAATTTTGGTGGTATTTGGGACCACGCATAGGGGTTTAAACCAACAATGTTCAATGATATTTTTTATGTACTAATATGTAAACTTTTTTTATGGATAATCTAAAAAATAAGTCTTTCTTATGTATAAGAGGAAAGGGTATTGATATGCTTCCTCTGAGATTTCTCTAACAAGCAAAGTTTTGTTTAGTTTATAAAAAGATTAGTGAGAAAGCTGAGATTTTAATAATTTGGAGGTCATTATGAGCTCATTGTATTTTTTTATTGTTATCAAGAAATGTGAATATGAGCTCATTGTCTTTTTTGATAAAAAAAATGTGAATTCTGAGCTAAGCTATATTCACTATTAGATTTGACAATCTATCCGGCGATAGAAACTGTGATGTTTAATTGTTAGCATGTAGGAAAGAGCTCATATGGAGAAATTAGGTAAATACACACATACAGAGAGAGAGACTTGGTCATCTTTAATCTTTTGGGCACTCCCACAATTTTAGCGTATATTTAACTGGAAGGCTACAATGTTACCATCTTTCAATAAACTTTGACAAGAACTAACTTGAAACATGAAGTCATGGAAAATCTTCATAGTTTTTCTTTTTCCTGAGAAGGTAACATGAATGTTCATGGCTTATTTGTGGAACTGATTATAAAATTGTAACGCTAAGTGTATTAGCATATAACTAATAAACACTTCTATAGCAAATCTACTATAACTTGTTGTTATGCATCTCATTTGACTTCTAATTTTCTTGCATAAATTGCAGATATTGAACTAATTGATAGACTTCAATCAGTCCTACAGTTACTTACATGATTTTTTTAACCAAAAGTACAGGGTATACAAAAATAATGTACCTCTTCATCATCTCTGTTCTCACTTCTCTCATACCTTAAAGAAAAGGAAGATAAAGGCTGAAGAGTTATTAAAAAGGTGGAAACAAAAGTAGAAAGCACTAATGAAACTATCTGAAAATAAGATCTGCCCTAAGCTTAGTCGCCCATAGTCTTCAAGATTGAGCATTACCAAAGAATGTAATTATCAAAGCAGTTCATAGAAACCATGCAATTACCAAAGCAGTTCATAGAAACCATACATGATAGTTCAAGTGACAAACTGCATTCCAGTTACCATGAAATTTTTTATTGGAAATTCATATTCCACTTGCATCATAAGAACAATGGATACATCGGGAATTGTTGTCACCTTTTTATTGCATATTTGAACTTGGAAGCATAAATATATTTAAACAACTTGACTTTGGGTTACCCAAAAAATATTTTGAATATGGTATCTCGAAAGTGGTTATCAAAGTATTCAATCTTCATGTGAAATTAAATATAACTACATGTGCATCTCGGTGAGTGATTATAAACATAATTTGAATGGGCAACATGTAGCTTATCTTATAACACTATATATATGACATGTCAGAAGAAAAGAGGATACTTTACAGTTATTCAGCAAAACAAGTTTAACTAATTATCTCATTGTTGATTTTCCAAGCCATCACTGAAACGGTGAATCTATCTATGAAGCTCTATTTAGAATTTATTTATTTGCGTACTTTGTTGATGCAGTTGTTGAAGTGCATTATCTACTACACTCTATGACGAACTATTGTTGTTCATGTGGTAGATTTTGTATCTCTTTTCAGTTGGTAATAAGTTTTGTTAAGGCCAATCAATTCTTGGTAAAAAATTAAAAAAAAATGCAATAGTTTGTATTTTCTGCATTTTGACCTTTTAACAGCTCTGTTTCACTGTTTGGTTTATTTGATTTATTAGTTCACAGTAATTCTTTGCAGCATTTGGCAGTAGCTGCTTAAAATGATTTTAAAGTTCTTATGAACCATCATATTGCCTTATCTTGAGCAAGTGCAAGTTGCTGTCCCTCTTAATTTGTTCAAGCACTTTTGCCTACAAATTTTACTTATTGTTGGCACTAAATCACACTAGATTAAAATCTTTTTCGGGAAACCATAGAGTTTTTTGTTTCATTAGAGGGGCACTTAATTCTCACTATCTGGGAAGAAGATAACATCATCTAGATTAAATGGCATCTCTTTTGCTTAAATTTTTCTTCGATCGCATTTGAAATCGCATAATACAAAATATTGCATTTTTGGTATAATACACACACTACTTTTCGTATACTTCTCTTAAAAAACCCTATTTCCTTTTGGCATGAATGCTAGCTGATCTAATTAACTTCGAATTTGTACTGATCTCTCCCCCTATTACAAGATATTTCCATTGATAAACTTGTGATGCATAACAATGAAGTTTTTTAAAATAGGTTTTTTTTGGGCTTCTCTAATGTGTTCCCTTTTCTTGCACATCTAAAGGTACAACTTTCCTATGGCAAGAAATACTGAAGCTACTGCCAACGAGTCCAAAAATGAATCTAAGGTAAAAAAAATCTACTTTTCCCTAATGATAAAATTTGTTTTGTTGATTCATGATTTATTTTCGAGATTGTGGTTTCTAATTTTTTATTTGGATTTAGTTTGGAATGATAAACTAATGATCTTGTGTATGTTTGTAATGAAGATTTGGAGGGATAGACCTATATCTATTTTGGAACTTGTATTTTCAAAGGCTGTATTTGACAAAATATTGGTTATATTAGTTTACCATTGCTCTGTGCTCTGTGCCCCAGATATATGTATCTTGAGAATCCAAATTTTTCAAGGCAGTGAAATAATTGTTAAAAGTTAATTCCTGAGTTAGCAGTTGAAAGGTCTACAAAAGAAAATGAGAAAGAATGAAGTTTCTTCTTTTCATTCTCTTGAGGCAACTAATAGTGCAGCTACAGCAGAGATTCTTTTTCATGTTTTCAATAATTTCCTCTAATCAACTTAAAACTATTTGAAATTTGACAATAGTTTGTATTTCTTCCAGTGGTGTAACAGCTTTAACACGTTTAGTAATTTGACTATTTTTTTAATAAGTTACCAATAAATATTTAGAAGCTTCTTCTATCGTTGTGCTCTTCTTTCTATTGTACACTAAAACCATAGTCAATGTTCAAAGTTTCTGCCATATACAAAAACTAATTCTATAATAAGAAACAATTATAGTATTAATTCGTTTGCTTTCCAGCGTTACCACTATTGAATTCTTTGTATTGGTCACCATCTTATTTGCCTAGAATAACAAATACACACTTTGAACTGTAACTCTCTGTATCTGTTTGTAGAACATTTCATATATAGAAATCGGTGTTACTGCAGATTTGATGTTAAAGTTTTATAGATTACTTGAACTGCAGATGTCAACTGTTAAAAAGCATTTACCGTCAGCTTGTTGTGCGTAGAAAAGGAAGCAACAGTGCTCAACAGAAATCGTCTCTAAAATTAATCGTAGGAGACGTGATCTATACAAGCAGTTATCAGTTGATAAAAAAGAATTGCTTTTAACACGCCGGCGATCAAAAAAACTTGAATTAAAAAAGGGTTCGACTGCGCTGCTTGAATATACCAAACAAGCTGCTGGGTTTGAGCTGCATACAGAAAAAACTCTGACGATAGTCGAGGCACCATGCATTGCTGGGAAAGGTTAGAAACCGAAAAAGATTTATTCGAACAAAAGACACATCTACATATACACTATTTGTAGACAGAAATATATGCATGTATATATGTGTTCTTCGTCGTGATTGTACTTAAATACAATTTGCTCTTACTAAACATATTTAGATTTCCATATTAGCAGGTATATCTTCAGCTGTGGGGGCAGTAGTTGATTGTCACAAAGGAAAAAATATTGCTGATCACTTCTCCATTTTTGAACATGGTAAGTGAGTGAAAATATGTTTTTTTGTAGCTTGACTGTACTCCCTTTTAATATACTAATTAGAATTATTTGTATGTTAGGTTCGACCTCTGGTGCACCCTGTGACCGACATCATGTAGAGACATCTACTGTCATAAACAAAGGTTTGTCTCAATTTAATCTAGGTTTATCTCAATTTAATCTTATAACACCACCTGCTGCCTCTCTCTTCTCAACACTAATAGGATATATTGTTGCAACTAATATACACAGGTTCTAAATCAAAAATAATAAGTTGGAACTGGAACATTAGAGAACTACCCACTGATGCAACCATTTTAAAAACTGTACCAGATTGTAAATATTGTGGAGCAAAAAGATTTGAATATGAGCTACCGGCATTTTGTTGTAGCAATGGTTCAATTAAGTTGACGTCACATGAAATGCCTAATGAACTCTTGAATTTATATTTAGGCAATACCGAAGAATCTGAACACTTCCGTACCTACCTTAGATTATACAACAATATGTTTGCATTTACTTCCCTTGGGGTGCACTATGACAAAGTACTAGCAAAAAGAAACCAAGGAATTTATACATTTAGAGTACAAGGTCAAATGTATCACTTTATAAATGATTTAATTCCAACAAATCGGCGACCAAGAAATTTACAGTTGTATTTTTACGATGAGAATGCAGAAATATTAAAACGAATGGCTTCGTCGGATATACTTCGACAATCAATTGTTCAGAAGCTAATGAACATACTAAAGATAAATCCTTATTGTATCTTCTTGAAATCTCTAATACATATTCCAGAATTATCAAACTTTTATATTGCATTGAGATGTGGCTCTGGCTTAGATCAACGAGTATATAACCTGCCAACTGTGTCATAAGTAGCAGCATTATGGCTAGAACAAGAAATGAGCAATAATAGTTTTACACCCCATATTCGAATTTATACTCACAGTAACAAAAGCCAATTAGTAAATTACTATTATGGTTGCTATGATCCTTTGCAATATCCACTTTTATTTCCTTATGGTCAAAACGGCTGACATTGCGGTATTCCAAAAATCGTACAACCTAGAAATAAATTGAGAAAGTGAGCTTACTATGAGATTGAGCAGCTTCCGAGTGTCTCTAACATGTGTTCAATTGATGGACTACTTGATATGGAAGCGGATGTTCTGCAAAAGGGGAAACGAAAAAGAAATAATGTTTCTTGTCGTGAATACTACTGTTACAAACTCCAGATGAGAGACAATGAGGAAAACGGAGTTTTACATTCTGGTAGATTATTTCAACAATATTCAGTTGATGAATTCATAAAAGTAGAAACTCAAAGATTAGATTTTGCCTCATTTAACCAAGATTTATTTCGGATTGATGTACTACAAGGACTTTTAGATATCTTGAGACTTGGCGAAAGAGAAGCTTCTAAGATAGGAAAACAAAACTTTCTTCCAACAAGTTTTACGGGTGGTCCGAGAGATATGCGTCAACGTTATATGGATGCTATTGCGTTAGTACAGCATTTTGGAAAGCCTGATATATTTCTGACCATAACATGTAATCCCTCTTGGCTTGAAATAAAGGAACATTTGCTCCCAACAGACGAAACTCAAAATAGGCCTGATTTAATTAGTCGAGTATTCAGAGCAAAGGTAGAAGAGATGAAAACAGATATATTAAAAAGAAGCATATTTGGAAAAGTTGCCGCCTTTATGTACAGTATAGAATTTCAAAAATGCGGTCTTCCACATGCCCATTTTCTTGTTATACTTACTGATGACTACAAATTATTAACGCCCGAGGCTTATGACAAATTTGTTTGTGCTAAGTTGCCTGACCCTGATACATACTCATACTTACATAAGCTTGTCGTTAAACACATGATGCATGGGACTTGTGGTCATTTAAATCCCACAAATTTATGTATGAAAAGAAATGAGTGCAAATTTAAGTACCCCAAGAGTTTCGCTGATGAGACGACGAAAGGAAAGAACTCATACCCAATTTATAGAAGACGAAATACTGGTAAATCTGTGAAAGTTAGAAAACAATTTCTTGATAACTCATGGGTTGTTCCTTACAACCCCTATCTGCTATGTAAATACAATTGCCATATAAATGTAGAAGTTTGCTCCGATATTAAAGTTGTGAAATATATATACAAATATATCTGTAAAGGACATGATAAGATATCATTTGGCTTAAACGAAGATAATACAAATATACAAATAGATGAGATAAAAGAGTATCAATCTGATAGATGGGTGTCACCTCCAGAAGCTATGTGGCGCTTATTTGCATTTCCTATTAGTGAAATGACTCCGAGTGTTTACCACCTCCCATTACATCTTGATGGACTACAATTTGTCTCTTTTAAAAAAAGACACAATAGATAGTATCGTGAAAAATCCTATGATCAAGAAGACGATGCTGACAGAATTCTTTTTGATGAATGAAACAAATAAAGATGCTAAAGAGCTTAAATTAATGTATAAAGATTTTTCACAACACTTCGTATGGTTATCTAGCTATAAAATGTGGACTCGACGACAACAAGGTCACGTTATTGGCCGGGTTGTAACATGTCATCCAACAGAGGGAGAAAGATATTACCTTAGATTATTACTAATGAATGTGAGAGCACCAAAATCATACAAAGATCTTCTAACGGTAAATGAAATATGCTGCGACACATATAGAGAATCTGCAGAAAAAAAAAAGGGTTGTTACATTGTGATAACAGCTTGATTGAATGTATGTTAGAGGCTGCATGTTATCAAATGCCTTATAGTTTAATACGTTTATTTGCTACAATATTAGTATACTGTAGCCCTGACAATCCAGGAGAACTACGGGAACAGTTTGAAGATTCAATGTCCGAAGATTTTAAAATTCTAGCCAATATAACAGCAAAAGATATCCACCTCGCTGTTCTGAATCACATCAATGATATACTACATTCTATGGGTCGTGATATTAATGAATTCAATCTTGTTTCAGAAAATATTACATCTTCGAAAATGGCAAATGAAGCGAAGGAAGCATATTTCGAAAGAAACATCATTGTGGGTAACGAAGATTTGTTGTTACATAGAAAATTAAATATAGAACAGAAAATAGCATACGACATAATCTTGCAAAGAGTATTTGTCAATGAATCAGGAGCATTTTTCATTGATGGTCCTGGAGGAAGTGGTAAGACGTTTTTATACTGTGCCTTATTAGCAACTGTGAGATCTAAAGGATTTGTAGCATTAGCAACAACAACTTCTGGAGTTGCAGCTTCGATCCTTCCAGGAGGACGAACAGTTCATTCACGTTTTAAATTTTCGATTAATATCGATGAAAAATTTTCTTGCAATATTAGAAAGAAAAGCTCATTGGCATCTTTGATTCATGATGCAAAATTGATTGTGTGGGATGAAGTATCAATGGCAAAAAAGAACATGATTGAAGCTTTAGATTCTCTCTTGAAAGATATAATGAACACAAATGTGCTTTTCAGCGGAAAAGTTGTTGTGTTTGGAGGGGATTTTAGACAAACTCTTCCTGTGGTTCGAAGTGGAAAAAAGGAAGATTTCATTCGAGAAAGCATATTGAACTTCGAAATATGGAACAAACTTGAAAAATTGCAGTTATCAGAGAATATGCGTGCCAAAACTGATCCCTCTTTTTGTGAATATTTGATGCGAATTGGAAATGGAAAAGAAAAAACAAACATGGATAATAAAATAGAAATTCCAAAGTCTTTCATTGTTCCTTATATTACTGAAAAAGAATCTTTGGATCTTTTATTCAACATAATATATCCTAATTTGCACATGTCTCTTCACAATTCTTCTTTTTTAACTTCGCGCGTTATTTTGATAACAAAAAATGACTTTGTTGATGAAATAAATGATAGACTTATAGCTCAATTCCCTAAAGAAGCTAAAACATTTATTGCAATAGATGAAACTGTTGAACCAAATGATCAGAGCCAGTTTGAGGGTTTTTTACATTCATTGAACCCTGCTGGTTTGCCTCCTTACAAATTAATCTTGAAGGAAAATTGTCCTGTTATGTTGCTGCGAAATTTAAATCCTTGTGAGGGTTTATGCAATGGTACACGACTGATATGCTGTGATTTTAAGAGCCGTGTTATAAGTGCTAAAATTTCGAGTGGTGATTTTAAAGATACGCATGTATTTATTCCCAGAATATCATTGTTATCTTCAGATGATGAGAAGCTACCAATCCCATTTAAAAGAACTCAATTTCCAATACGCTTGTGTTTTGCAATGACGATAAATAAAGCGCAAGGGCAAACACTAAATTATGTTGGTATTTATTTGCGTGAGCCAGTATTTTCTCATGGCCAGCTATATGTTGCTTTATCCAGAGCAAAGAGTTCAAGTTGTATTAAAATATTAATCCGACCACCAACCGTAGATAACGATGATGACCATTCTACATATAACATAGTGTATGACGAAATCATTCAAAAAGCACTTCTATAAGTCTGTAGCTTTCTTCTTTATATTCCTGGTTTAACCTTATATTCTTTATTTCAATAATTTTCTTGAGACTTGAGATAGTTTCTCTGCAATTTACTATGTGCTAAATAAGAGTTGGCTTGTGTATCTACAAATCCTTCCTAAACTTTTACTCATCTTTACAAATCTATAAATACAAAAGCAACTTGCATATTTATGTGATTTTTTTCCAACTCTGTGAAGCTTACCTGACTGACATTTACATCCAAAAAAATATATATATATTTTTAACTCCGCTTGTGTTCAAATTATATTGTAACACAGCCTGTCCCAAGCCCGGATAAAGGAGGACGGTCTATTGTATATTGGTAATAACAATTGTATCTTATTTCTTCATTTGAATGTACTTACTGATTTCCTCTTATAAATTTTTATACATCACTATCAATATGTTGGCGGAAAAAAATCCATTGTTCGTTTAAGAAACAAAATGAGAAATAAATTAAAAATTTATTCATCTTCTATTTTGATGTCTTTATATTCCTTTACTGCTTACTAACACGTATAATCTGTATTGCAGGTATTTTAAAAAGATCTTCTAAAGTAAAATGTTTTCACAAGTTGGTACTAAAAGGTACTGTCACACTAACCAAATTTTGATATAGTAATTTCATTTTCTACCTTAGAGATTGTTTCATTATTTGATTTTATATGGATATCTTTGCATATTTCAATGATGTGATTAGTTTTACTACTGGAAGTTGTCCAATTAATCTTTTTTAATGTCTTTATTATATTCATTCAACTATTATGAATACATACAAATAATTGACATCATATATATTTCACAGAAACTAAATGACCCAGTGTTATTTGTTGCGTCATAATACACGAGTTAATGCACAACTGTCGAATTGGTCTGGCAGCAAAGGATAAGCTTTTGAAAATATTTACATAGCTGCTGCAGGGGGCTGTTATGGAATTAAACAACCCTCAGGTTTCCTCTTTCTCCTGAAACGTCTGTGCTAATTTTGATTGCTCAAGAAATTGAAATCATAGCCCTCTTCAACCTTGGTGTGAATAATAACAAGTATGTTCTCTTGTGGGTGATTATATTATGGTAGTAGAATCGCAAATCAGTTTTCCTTAAGTACCTCTAACTAACGAAGATAGACAGCACTGATTTTGTCCAGCCGTCAAATAATCTATGCCTTTCTGATGAACTTCTTGCATTGGCACCCCATAAGTCAAATAGCTTTGAATTTCTTGCCATCTTTCATTGGTCTTCAAATGACTGCATCTTTCTAGAGAAAATTTCTATATTTTTCACAAGTCACTCATCTCCAAATTTCACCTTATAAAACAAAATAGGTATCATTTGTTTTATGGTACTTACTCGCTTTCTTCTTGAATTGTCTGGTCATGCTACATGGTTTGGTAATATTCTTCTCTATTGAGTTGTAGCTTGTAGGTGGGATATTCATATAGACTGGCTTCAGTAATTAAGGTGAATTTTTAATTTTACTTCGCTTATGTGTAGCACAGGTTGATTTCAGACAGCTACAATCTTGATTTTGTCGAGCGAAAATCATTTAAAGTGCACGAAATTAGCTTTAACAAAGTCATGTGCTTATTCACTCGACAAAATCATATAGAGTGCACGATTCTGTCACAAAATGAGCATTTCTCTTCTGTTTTTCTACTGATTCCTTTGACTCTGTCTCTTCTATATCCGATGGTCATATTTCTTCTTTTTAAAAATTTCCATCTTTCTCAATTTGTGTCTCTCTATTTGGTTTTTTCTTACTCTACTTCTTAAGATTTGATCCCTGCGTTTTGGAAGTAATTATTTCTCTTTCTTCCTGTGTTGCTTCTGGGTTTAAATAAGTCCAAGGAATCACCAATTGCTTGCTAGGTTTTAATTGTTTTTCTTTGGCAGCTTCACTTTCAGTTTGCCTGTTATGTGTTTGTGAAATTGCATGTCACAAAGGGAAAAGAAAAGAGTAATTCAAAGTTGAGAGAATTGCATGAAAACGAAATTACAGAGCTGAATTAAATTGAATTGAAAAAATATTGTTTGCTTGACAATTTAGTTATTCGTAACTCAGCTAATGCATCATCTTCTAGGGCTAGCAGTATTTTTACGAAGCAGGTTTCTCCTGATATAAGAGGGCTCATTGCTTTGTTGTGAAACAGGTTAGGTAATTTTGTTGTCACATATAAATAGTATAGAATTATATTACTTGGAAAGAAATAATGAAAAATAAAAAAGTGGTGAAAGCTTTTTAAGCATTATTGTATCAAACAGGAATTGAAAAGGAACTTTAGTTAATTGTGTCCTGAAGAAGCCCCTGATTTGAATGTCGCCTTTAACCCCCCNATTTTCACATAGCTTTTAGTTGTCTCATAGTTTTTTAGTTGTGGTTTGTTAATTAAACTGTAAAATTTAAAACTTTATACCTGATGGGAGTGGTGTAGTGCAGGCTATTTCTGGAGAACTTTATTTCTGATATTTTGCTCTATTCCTTTCTTTAACATATTTACTTTGTTGGTCCACTTCTCCTTTATATGTCGCTTGTTTCTTAAAGAAAGAAACAATACATACTTCTATGAACCTCGATGCTAATTCATAGGCACAACTGTGTTATTGTTTCCTCTTAAGACTACAAAAGGAACTTCATTGGTTAGATTTCTCCAAGAGCATTGTGGAAGCTGTATCACAAGATGAATGACATTCTTTTGAAAAAGAGTGACCAGCTTCTTTTTAAGAAAGCACCAACATTTTAAGTGGAATTTATGGCTGGGCACACTATTAGGATACAACGCTGCATCAATATGTATCTTAAAACAGCGGCGCGTGTCCCGCCTTTTCTCAAGTATGCTTAGCCATCCCTCTGCTTTTGTGGTTATTATGGATTCTGTCTTCACTCTATTTTACCCTGTTTCAAATCGTCCTCAGGTTATTAGCTCATTCATATTTATTGGGAGAGAATGAATTGTGCTTCCGGGGTGAGTTTAGTTCATACTAATTCGATTCCATATATTTTCCTTTTGGTTTTCTGCTGCGTTTGATTTATGTAATAGTGAAGTTTTATACTTTAAAACCTCATAGCATAATAATAATTCCATTTAAAAAGATTTGTGCTTTTGCCGATTAAATTTTAGAATAAAAAGGGTTCGGCATCATGTTTTAGACAATTTACCTGTAGTTCAGCAGCTGCTCTAATAAAATACATCTTTTCCCTGAACCAAATAATTTAACATGCTAATTATAAAGTCATTTATACCTATTTGGCACTTTCTGTTTCAGTAATTGTTACTGCTGATGGTTTAGGTGCACTATTTGATGGAGAATTTGTGATGTTTGTAGCAAAAGTACTCAAGTAAGAACTCTAAGAGGCAACAGCTGAAAGAACGATGATTTTGGTCAATTCGATAATTTTCTACGTAGAAAACTACTT